CCTACAGTCATCTGATAAAGTTTACTACATTGATTTCCCCTGTGAGCCACAAGTTGCTGATTTGTATTTGCCTCAAAGCAACATCGGGAACATCTAGGTGGCCCGCACTTCACAAGCTCTCCTTCCACCATGCTTCAGGCAGATGTCTGTTGAATGTCTGATAAGGAAACCTTGAGCAATAATTGTTGACCAATAATGGCTATCCTTCATTGGCGTTGTGGGGAGGAAAAGTTAAGTGGTTTTCCTAAGGGCTGGCTGTAAGGCGACATGCTTTGTAATGGAATTTCTGAATTGAGCCAGCCCTCTGTGGTGGCCTTGGTCGTCCGCTGCCTGAGCCAGGCGTATCTGCAGTGCTCCAGGGCACAACTGATGATAGACCAGCCAGCCTGGCTCTTCTAGCCATTGGGGGCAGGGATTTTTCCCATTGAGCTCCTGTTAACCATACAAGCTGAAGACCTAATGGGTAGAATACTAAAAATTAAAGGAATTGGCCATTAGGATTATTAATAGTGAGTTTGAATGTTCAGACAGCTGTTTTTATGTGGGAGTCTATTTCACATCTAACAACCTGAGTGGGGAAAAGAAAATTATTTTGATCTGAAATTTTGTTTACTTTATACCAATGGCTAAAACTCAAATAACATGATTGTATCTACGTTATTGCTTGCTCTTGGCATTTTAAAACTTGGTTATGATTGCATGCAGTCTTTCTTTTCTCCAATAAAACCAAATTCAGTTCTACGAGTTTCTCTTCAAAGAGCCCACATTTCATTACAATGAAGCACTCGTTGTTAATATATGCTACACATACATATCTATTTACATAAGATGCACGTGTTTCAGTTTGATTCCTTTCTGTGCAGTCTTTAGGCTTCTCTATAGCCTTGGTGTGTCCTCCAATGTAAATGTAATTTTGTATTGTATTCTCAATTTTGTTTATCCTACATAAGCTGGACGTACTCTGATTCTCTGACTTTTAAGTTTTCCGAATACTTGTTTTTTATCATTTGTCTCCCCACCCATCTGAGCTCAGTCAGTGCATAGACAATACTTACGGCACAACTCAGCTTCTTGGGAAGATTGCAGTTGGGTTGCGCAGTTACAAAGAAAATATCAGCTACAAACTTTACTGAGACCCAGAGTCCTGGTAACATCCCCTGGGTCTTCAAGGCAAAGCAATGTAAGCTTTGTCAATTGGTAGCCTTTCATGTTTTGCAGCCTAAAGGTAATTAGATTCATGCTGAGACGAGATACCAGGAGGTAAGTGGATCGCAGCTCCTTGTGGATTCAGCTGAAGTTATAGCACTGGAGCATCTAGGGTTTATGAATCCAGTCTACAATCCATCCGTCAGGACTAATGGTTTGGACAGATTTCCTGCCTCCCTCCACAGGTCACCTATTGTTACTGGATTGACAAGCATTCTCCTGAACAAATTTTTAAAGATACCAAATTAAAGACTAACGCTGTACAATGTTATTCTAAATAATGTTTTCCTCAATGTATCTCACCATTCCTTCATAATTACAGTTGTGCTTCTGCTCGGATAGAATCAACTCAAAAGACAAGGCACAATATATAACTTTACCCTTTGGACTGAACACAAGAAAATCTAAACAAATAATCAGGGTTCAGGTACAAATAAAGGATTCTAACAAGAAGTTACAGTGGTTACTGGTGTGTTATTAACTCCCAGCACTAATATTACACAATGCACAAGTGTGTTATTGCTACAAGTTGCATTTTGAATAGTTCAGTAGCTGTTCCTATGCACAGTGATACAGTATAAAGCATTTTATTCTAAATAAATATCATTTAGCTTGTGGGTGATGCAGATTTTAAATCGTTGACACAAATCTTTTCTTCTCGAGTTACATCATGGGATCTTTAACATCCACCCGAACAGCCAGATGGGACCTCGATTTAAAGTCTCAACCAAAGCTTGACACCTCTGATAATGCAGTACTTCCCCCAGCACTGCACATGAGTGCCAGCCTTGGAACATGCAGATACTCTCACACATGCGAGCTGCTGTTAGACATTACGTGTTGTGATGTCTGCTAGTTAAGAAATGGCATCAGCTTTCAAATAGAGATTCGTGCATATGTGAAAGTCCAATGTCTAAGTCCCAACAAAGAAAAGCTGACACAAAGTTGACCTGAACGCATTCATTGTCAGGACACATACACCTATTGTTAGCCAGTTTACAGAGCAACAGGGGAAAAGTCTAAAGTTGCACTTACCTTGTCTGACAAAAAAATCATAGCAACAGACATTGATAGACCTAAAGTGAGAGTCCCAAATGGCACGATTGGTGATGTAAAGCTGCCATAGTTTTGCTGAGCACATCTTTGGCAGCAGATTCCATTAGTGTCAGCACAAATGCTACCACATTAGCAGTTCACTGCACCAACTAGTACTGCAGCCAACACAGCATCTCCTGCCATACAACCTATTATAATAGCCAGTACAGTAGTAATGCCACTGAAAGGTTTGGAGCAGGCAATTCCAATCCCAAAGGCACCCCATGAAATTGATAAATCTGCTCTTAAAGAGTCAATTTCACCTCTCAGGTACACCTGTTATATGAAGCCCTGCAGCTGGTGATCAGGGGCTTTGCAACCTATGCCATTCTCTGTTCTTAGAGTGCTAAGCAGTTAAACAACAGAAAGAATAATCCCCTAATAATCCCACAATTTGACCACCTCATTAAATGCTGCCTTCAGCACTTCTGCTTCCTTATAATTATTTCAATCAGCAAGTTAATCACAATTTGACTGAAAAGCACTTGCCAAATGACCATGTCCAATGCAGGTGCTGTGGGCTAGCTTCAGTTGTCGGTAGAGAAATGAAAAGCTAAGTGGAGAATAGTAAATCCTACTGGCAGTCAAAGGTCAATATTTGTTTTGGATCTCGCATTGATTTCACCAGTAATTAAATCCTAGTGCAAAGGCTCAAATGACACGCGTCTAAAATTGAACATTCATCAACAAAAATAAATGCTATTTGAAATTCTATGCTGGAATATGAATTGCAAAAGCAGCACAGACTGACAGCTATCCTATAGACAGAGAAGCATCTTAGCTGTCAGCTTGGTTCGTTTGGTAGCCCTCTCAGTCTTGGTGGGAAGGTCTTGGATTGAAGCATTGAGGACTTTCAACTCAATCTCTAGGCTCAATATAGCATTGGGCAAAGGATGTATTTTCGGATTCTTCAAATGAGGTAATAAGCGAAGGTCCTATCTGCCTATTCATGTAGTTCTTAAAGATCACATGGCAAACGAGAAGTGAGTTTCTCCTGGTATCTTCACCAATAATTCTTCACGAAAATTGGTCATTCATCTGGTTGTTTGTGGAACATTGCAGTGTGCAAATTGGCTCCCACGTTCGCCTACAAATACAGTCATTACACTTAATAACTATTTAAAGGCGCTATATCAAAATCAAGGATTAGTTTTGTCTTCTGCAAGATAGCCAATGATTGATCACTCAGAATTTTGCTGTATTTTATATTGTTTCTTTTTAGCGTCTTTATGTAATTTACTAACTACATTATCATTCTACATGAAGAATGAACTGCTTCAATTGTTGGCTCATTGTTCTTTTAAATTTGCACTCCCACTTTGGGATGTTACGAAATATCTCAATCCTTCAAATCCAGAATGATCTTCATCTTCTACTCCCTACCGTGTTCAGAGAATTATAACAGCATAATAATAGAATAAATAATCAAGAGAAGATGCAATGTTATCACCTAGATTATATTGCCAGAATGACTGAGCTCATATAAGAAAAAGGGGGCATTGTAATTGGACAAGTAGAGTGGGTAGTATTGTAATAATGCTTGTACTTGATATAGGGCCTTACTGAATTAAAACACCTCAAAGCACTTCACAGTAATTACTGTTAATGCAGTTATTGTGTATTCTGTAGCCAAATATAATAGCTAATTTGCACACAGCAATATCCCACAAATAGCCAGAAGGTGAATGATCAATTTATTTGGGGGAACTCTTGCCCAGGAAACCTGAAGCAACTCCTTTCTCTTTTCCAATAGTTCTATAGGATCTTTACCGTCCTTCTGAGCAGATAGACAGGGCTTTGTTTGAATATCTCAGCCAGAAGTAATAATATATAATAATAATCCTTGCATTTGATATATTACCATATCACGTCTTTGAGACATCACAAAGCGCTTCACAGAATATACTGTAAAGTGTAGTGACTGTGTGTTTTGTCGGCGAAACGTGGCAGCCAATTGCGCACAGCAGTGTCCCACAAAAAGTTGTGGTTTGAGTGACCAAATTATTATTATTTTTGGAGGGATTATTACTCCCAGAATGCGATCGGCCAATCGACTAATAAGTGGGTTCCTACTTACTGCTGGGTAAACAGAGGCATGTGGAGTAAGGAAACTTGCCTAAGGTTTTGCCCTCCCAAGAATCAACCCCGGGTCCTAACCATTATACTACAGGACTCCATATAACTGGATAAACTACTACCCACCCTCCACACACACATACATACACACATACCCTGATCAGCCCCACCCTTGCTCTCGCCTCCACCTGCTCTTGGCCTCCCAGAAGTACTCTATCTCCCCCGACCCACAAATTCTCCCTTCCTTAAAGATTGTCATCCTCGTGGGGAGAGAAGTCACCTCCACTGATGCAGCGCTCCCCTAACACCTCACTCGAGTATCAGCCTGAATCACAAACTCATAGTCCTCAACACAGGACTTCAACCCACAACCTTCTAATCGAGAAAAAAGACAATTGAGCCAGGCTGAAAAGTCATGAAATCATACGGTATTGACAACACTCCTCAAAACCGTTTAATTCTTTCATGGGCACGAGATGAGACACTGTAGGTAGTACTATTCAAGAGATATGTTATTCAAATTCATGACAAACATAGCCAAAACTAAAACTGAATAAAAAATGAGGCTGGTTAGTGAAATCCAATTTTTTTTTGTAGAAGGGACATTTCAAGTAAGTGCCTACCAGAATCTTCAACAGAGAAATAGAAGATGTCATTGGTTGCATTGTCGCCCTCACGCAGAATGTAGGAGATCTTCATGTCATCGATATCAGCTGTTATAAAGCAATTTGCAGACAATTAATGATTGGCATTGTCCAATACATCAGAAAAAATGCCATTAGTGTAATTTGAAACATAATTGGATTTGAAATGCAATATTCACAAAGAGATACTTGCTACATCAAAGTTTGTTTTGTAAAAATAAATTGTTGGATTGCTGAGATTCGCTAAAAATGTTGAAAAATTCAGGAAAACAATCTAGCATTGGATCTTTGACCTAGATTATAAACTCAGGTACAACCAGAGCTGAGATATTTCAGTCTTGTGAGCAAATTCATATTGGTTTAAACCATCTCCTCATTACCATTCTCAACCCTGTCCAACCTATGTACCTAGGGGAATAGGTACTTTGTTTGAATAAGGTGAAAAGTCCTTTGAAAAATGTGAATGTACCTTTAACACATTCAGGTCACTGAGCCAGAGCAACAGATTTGATGCAAGCATTGCATCCTATTCCTGAAAGCCTTTCCCTCCTTCTCCTAAATTTGTAGAAGACTGAGAAGATTAAGCAAAGCAGCTTACATTGCCTGTTATGTAGTGAAAAATCCACTCTCCCATGATACAAAATTAACTTATTTATAATGTAGAGTATTAAACTATCACGAAACAAGTAATAAAAGGCTCTAGATATATGAATAACGTTAATGAATTTTCATACATTATCCTTAGCAATACATTAATACAGTAATTCTCCCTCTGAACCTATACAGAGTGATTTTATCGGAGGTGTACCTCGATATGCTGAAAGAAATATCTGTCACATCTATGGTTCAACCCATATCATGCTGTTCAAACGAAAAACACCACAAAATAATAATAATCCTTGTATTTGATATAGGGCCTTATCACATTGATAAAATGCCTTAAAACACTTCACAGGAAATACTGTAAAGTGGTTGTATTTATAGGCAAATATAGCAGCCAATTTGTGCACAACAATGATCCACAAATAGCCATGAAGTGAATGACCAACTTTTTTGTAGAGGATTGTTGTTCCTGTAAGGTTATCACTGAAATCCCAAAGCTTTCAATAGCAGGTCCATCAAAGACAAAGTCTCCCTCAGGCACCTGTGAGTCTTCCCTGTGAGACATTGCTGAGGTTTAATAACAGCCATTCATCTTATTAACAAAGGTGAGGATGACAGGATTCCTAGAAGTAAACTATCAGTGGTGGGTAATTATTGGAAATACTGAAGACATAATGAATGCACCGGAATGACAAGAATTCCTAATCAAGCGAAGATCTCACTATTTCTTCACATACAGCTATTTGCTCAAGGACTATTGTGCCAGGGATCTGCACATTGTACTGGTTCGGGTTTTTTTTGTTCTCAAACAATTAAACTTACCACTTTCAAATTACCATTGAAATAAGTGTTCCCAAAGTTAAAAGTTTAAAAAAAATCATTGTAGAAATAACAAAGGGCTTTCTCATGCACATAAAACAAACTCTGAATAGAGAATCAAAAAGAACCATTAAGTGAATGATGTGTTTAACTGACTTTAACTGTCCCAGTAGTATTAGGCTTCAAACTGCTAATACCAATAAGATTTCTTTCCAGAGAATTATTTTCAAGAAATCCAGAAAAAATGATCATTTTTCTATAAAAGGTAACATTTGCATATGTAAGTGTGTGTCCCTAGACTCGTCTAGTGAAGTGGTTAGACCAGACTGCGAAGGGCACAGCACAAAACAACCATTTATAAATAAACAAATAAAACAGCAATTTCTAAAGGTTGAACATCTTTTGTAAAATCATGCATTGATCTATAATTACTTAATCAATGTGTCAGAGGTTAACAATATATCAAAACGTGTATTGGTTTACACCTCCAATAAAATAGATGAAGCAGAATGGCTGATATTGCTAATGACAGCTCAGCTAGACTGGGAATTCATAGCAGTGGTGTGATGCCGTTCTGAATTTACCTGCAGGAAATGGAGGTAACAAAGTATTTTTTTAACAAATATATTTAAAGCACTAAATAACTAAAATATAAGAGCTCATTTAACTGCTTAGATTCTGCAGAAACAGAGAATTTACTGTGGGGGACGGGTGGGGTCGGGGGTGGGAAGGAGGAGAGGTGAACTATGGCTGAGAACATGTTCTCCATTATCCAAACCAGTAATGATCCCAGGTTCAAGCCCAGAGTTACTACTGTGTTAGCTGGGCTCAACCAGTGTTGAAATGGGAGTGATCTGAGTGACTCGAAAATGAGTCAGGGTTCAATACAACACAAATTTACATTTATATAGTACCTTTCACATCGGGAGGACATCCCAAAGTGCTTAACAGTACTGGCTTGATACCTGAGCTAGGGTGGGTGCAGAGGGGGTACAGAGGGGATAGATGACGGAAGGTCCGGTTAAAGGCAAAGGTATTGAGACAGACTTTGAAAGAGGTGAGGGAGGGAGTGAGTCAGAGAGGCTTCAGGATGGAGTTCCATAGAATTAGGGCAGATAGACCGAAAGCCTGACCGCCGATGGTGGGGCAGGTAGAACAGTGGACATGAAGCAGGCTGGTGATCTCTGAGCAAAGGGAGCGGATGGGCTTGTACAATGTGAGGAGATTCCACCTGGAGGAGAGAGTGGGTGGGGTTCAGATGAGAACTGGAATGGGCTCATTTTAAGTTATATATCCTCTGGTGCGTAACCTGCCAACACTCACTGCAAAGGCTCACACATAGCCACTCAGCAGCGGTGCCATCTGACCAGCAAAAAGTAAAAAGGAGTTAACTGCCTTGGGAAGAGGAGAAAATTGGCAAGGAGAATAAAAGAAAAACAACTCGTCACTAATGGTAGCATCATGAAGGACAACATAATGATTTAGAATGACTGAAATATTTTCAATATGAAAAATGAGAGCCAAGTTTATCTAGTTTTGTGACCGGACAAATTGCAGTAGCTAACTTCAAATCTTGATTCCATCCGATGTAGTGTGAAATGTCCAATGCCTATGTTCCTTTACAGCAATGCCATGAACTAAATATATTGGCCTCATTAGGCTTATCAGCTCCTCTGAAGTCTATTTGTGACATGGTGAATAAAGCCCATGCTTTTATCTTTATGTGCTTTAACTCTTGGCTTGGCGGTCACAATTCACTAATTCAAAGATTATTTGATTCAACTTGGTTTAATATCATTCATTCTGTGCTGGCTCTGAAAACCTATTGTTTCAAAACTAACATAATTTCGGAAATAAAGGAATTAGTACCTGCCAGGTCAATTAATGTTCATCACACACTGGAGTAAAATTGCTCAGAGAACTTTAATGCTGATTTACGTGACTGTTTAGCACATTTTTGAATCTGCACTAACAAGCTTACTAATAGGACTACCTTTATGATCTCTGATTCACGGCAGAGCCAATTTACTCAGGGGAGGTTTTCTGTGAATAGTGGCTGTGGAGGAGATGCATTGTGCAGGGACTACATTTGCTTAATCACTTCCAACTTCAAAGTGCCCTTAAAAGAAATAAGTCTTTCATAACCAAATCCATTCTTGAGACGAACAACATTGTTCCAATGATTTCAAAGCACTTTTCTCCTAACTTTGTTAATTTTGATTGTGTTTCCCTTATGAGGCTAATAACTCTTGACCAAGCCTCACTGATCATAGCTAGTGTGGACAATTGTTGGTCAGCCCCTTTCCAACAAAAGCAGCCATGGTAATGCTATGGGCACACTTTTTAGTGCATAAATGAAAATGCTCCAATGCATCCTGTGGGTGACTGGGTACTGGGGAACTCGGTGACCTCTGAAAGCAAGCTATGATCTGTTGCCAAACAAGAGTGAAAGTCTCCCTGTACTAAGTCAAGTGGTGGTAGTGGCGGGTGAGTAGGGGGAATCTTCTTTGTGTTAATCCACCATTGGGCTAGTAAATTTAGGGATAGAAAAATAGACCAGTGGTTCAGGCATTAGTATAGCATGCAATTCATTGATATAAAGCAAAGCAGAATTTGTTAAAGTAAAAGCAAGCAACTTATAGATGGATTTCCATTACATCAATGTATATTTCAAATTGTCCCATACAGGTCCTACAATTTTATTAAGCTATTGGACTCAGCGACCATGCCAGAATGAGGTTGACATGTAAATGTTGAACTCCAGTTAGTTTTGTTTGGATAATCTTCAGCACAGTAATAGATATTTGTCTGTCAGATGTCCATCTAACAAAACAGTACTCATATTCTTGTCTTCGGCTACTTGTTAGGATTAATCTTTTATTTGCTGCAAATTCCATAAAAGTTAAACCATAGTTCTAATAAAATCTATGTTATCACTAATCAACCCCTATACTTTGAGATATTTGAAACCAAATACACAAATATCCAATGTGAATATTGTATTTCTTTGTATAAAACATGGTTCAGAAGTGGTCCTTATGACTAACCTTGACTGAATGTATTAACACTGTTGTTGCCCAGGCCAATGTTAATAATGTACCCATGTTCTGGTTCCTCTGTGATCCTGAACTTCAACAGCTTGTGTGGGCTGTCACGGTCTTCAGCCTTCAATGCTTTGCTTGTGATCATAAACCCGAGATGGCCAGTTTGCACAATTCGAAGAGTCGCAGCCCCTTTGTTGACAAGAATTTGTGGCACTCCATTGTCAACGGCTAATATTTGGATATTCATCATCTGAGGCCTACGTGTCTCAAACACAGTATCTGGGAAAACATAGTATTCAGTGTGCGTGCCATCAGTTACAGTGAAGGAGAAACTGTCTTTGCTTGACTCTGTGCCGTCGTGTTTGTAGCTAATGAGATTTTCATTCAAGTCCTGCTTGGTGAAGCTGGCAACAGACTGACTGCTGTTAAACAACAACTGGCCATGAACAGGCACTTGAGTGATAGTGAATAGGAGGAGATGGTCTGGAGTGTCACGGTCTTCCACTGTGAGCTCAAATGGGGTGATGAGCTTCACTTCCCCTTCATTGACAATCAAATCATGAACAGTAACGACTGGCTTCTTGTTGTCCACATCAGTGATTGAAACACGAAACGTGCGGAAAACTGGGTTGTAGCCATCAGTAACCTCAAACTCAAAGCTGTCCATTTTAACTTCATCATCTGATGTATGGATGTAGTAAATTTTATTCCCTGCTAACTGTAGCTGAGTGAAGGAGGTGATGGGAACACCTGGATTGTCCGTCATTTCAAGGTGGCCACGGCTTGGTGCACGAGTGATACTAAATCTTAGGTTTTCATCGGGGCTGTTAATGTCATTGGTGCTCAGCAAATCGGTAGTCAATGTAACCCTGCCACCTTCCTTCAGTGTAACTCCTTTGTTGATTACTTCTGGGAACAACTTATCAATGCTGCCAATGCTAATGTAAAAGTAACGATCAATCAGGGGGTTGATGCCATCTGTCACATCAAACTTGACGAGATCCCGTACCCCTTCCTGTCCTGTGTGCACGTACTGAATCAGTCCTTGGTCAATTTCATCTTGTGTAAAATTCATGCCCACTGTGATGTTCTCAAACACACCACCTTCCCTGCTCAAACGTTGCAATAAGCCTTGGCTTTGACCATAGCGGATGATATAAGTCAGTGTTTTGTCATCGGAATCTAAGTCAGTCGCTTTTAAGACTCTGTTATTTATCACCTTTGATTCACCGATCTCAACTTCTAGTCCATCATTGATGGTCATCCGTGGTGTCTCATCATCAATTGGAATTATCATGATGGTAACAGTCTTGTCCACAGTATGTTTGCCATCAGTAAGTTTGATGTCAAAGCTGTCTTCTTTGGTTTCAGAGTCATCATGTTCATAGACAATATTGGATCCAATGGAAATCTCCATCAGAGTGAAATTTCGAACTGGGACTGTGCCATGAGTTAACTGATGGACAACGTGGCCATGTTGTGGGGGCTTTGTGATGATAAAATAGAGTTCATCAGCAGGGATATCAGCATCTGCTGCATTCAAAATTGGTGAGTCAATGACGAGATTCATACCCTCCATCACAACAAACTCCCGAACAAAAATCTCTGGCTTCTCATCATTAGCTGGAATAATAATTATTGAAAAGAAGTAACGCTGAGAGAAGTTAATACCATCTGAGCAGCGGAATGTGAACCTGTCTTCAACATTTTCCACCTCTTTGTGAATACTTTGAACGTAATAGATATGTCCTAAGCGAATGTCTTTGATTGTAAATGCACTAATTGCTGTTCCAGTCCTTGACTTCTCAGACCCAGGGGCTGGAGAAATGTTTTCAACGTATCCACAAGTGGCCTGAACAATTATGGTGCACAGAATGTCATCATCTGGTGTGTCCACATCTTTTGCATTCAGATTTGCCAGTGTTATGACATTCTTCTCCCCTTCTACAACTGTGTACCGTTCACGAAGAACAATGTCAGGTGCAACACTGTCAACAGACAATATAGTGACTTGAACTGTGACACCTTGTACTTTATTCCCACCAACAACCCATTCATTTGACAGGTCAGAAATAGTCAAGTTGAAAGAATCTTGACGCTTCTGTATACCGATTTCACCACTGGTATGAGCATACACCACGGCACCATTGATGATATCTTCCTGTGTAAACCTCTCTGCTGGCAGCCCGTTGACTAGAATCTCACCCAGTTTAGGAGTGTCCTCCACAATGAATGTCAGGATTAGATCATCAGTATCTTCATCGGTGCCCTGGATGACATTGGTTGTGATTTCGGTAGCCCCATTTTCAAGAACATCTATGTGTGAGCCAAGTTGCCCTTCGGGAAGCCTGATGATTGGTATCTCATCATCTACAGGCCGCACTGTAATTCGGATAGTTATTGGAACTTCATGGATACCATCGCTAACATCTAGTTTGAAGGAATCTCTTGTTGACTCGTCACCACTGTGGACATACACAACACGTCCATTCACAATGTCATCCAAGACAAATAATTCACCAACGATTATTATCACTCCCACATACTGCAAATGTCCGTGCTTTGGTGCTTGTGTCAAAGTGAACGTTATCTTGTCTTCATTTGTATCCCGATCAGTTGCCACCAATTCTGCCTTCGTTAAGACAAACTCACTACGTTCCAGTACAATAAAGCCGGTATTAGTAATTTGAGGAGGTTTGTTATCCACTGGCTGTAAAAAGATTGTGAAAGTGCCTTCTACAGAATTTCCTGCAGTGTCTTCCACTGAGAAAGTAAACTGGAGCACTCTGGGGCTGATTCCAAGTTCCTGATCTGGAGGACTATAGGCTACTTTATGGTGATTTACTTGAGCTTGGGTAAATTCTGTGATGACTGTGTCAGGATTTTCTGTCAAAACTATGTTACCCATCCTGACTGGATTGTTCTCATCCAGGTCGGTTGGAGGTGTCAAAACGGTGTATTTCAGGTCTCGATCGTCTGAATCCAGATCTGTGTAACGCATAAACTTCTTCCGGAAATATGTGATCTCATATTCCTTTACGACCATTTGCAAAATGGTGCCCGGGAACAGTTCGGGTGGGATGTCATCCACTGGTTGTATCTTGATGGCGAATGAATGTTCTCCTGACTGGTTTGGGGGATCGTTGTCATCTTGGACACGAAACACAAAGCCGTCCATTACCATGGTGGTGCTGTGAGGCCCAATGTGGCGATAGTACAACTTGCCATCCAGAATGTCCAGCTGGTACCATTCGGTTACAACCATCTCGTATACCCCATCGTCTTCCACGTAGTTCCAGGCAGATGGCTCTTCGGGCACCTTGTCTTGTCGCAGGACCAATTGGCCAAGATTGGAATAGGGAGGTTCAATTGTGAATTTGATGGTGGAGTCTTCGGAATCGATGTCGGTGGCACTCAAGATGAAGGGTGAGATTTGCAGGATTTCATTCTTGAACAGAACAAGTCCCGTGTTGGCGTTGATAATAGGAGGTTCGTCATCAGTGGGCGCAATCGTGATGGAAAACAAGAACTCCACCTGGTGCCTGCCGTCCGTCATGCGAAAGATAATGTTGTCACTGTAGGTGTCGCTGCCGTCATGCTGATAAACCACGACCCCGGCGTCCAGATCAGCAGGCGTGAAGAATTTCCTCCGAGCCCCGAGTACAGTCAACTCACCATGTCTCAAGCCATCTACGACACTTATTTTCACATCCTCGAGGTTATCCTCGTCACTGATCTCCAAGTTCTGAGCGCTGGACAGTGCTCTCGATTGCCCTTCAAAGAGCAGCTGGCCGGTGTTTTTGGTCGCGACCGGTGCCAGAGTGTTCATGGGTTTCACGACTATCATGAAAGCAAATGTATCCGAGGTTGCCCCTTCGGTGTCTACAACCTCGAGCTCAATCTGAAAGATCCTCTCCACGTCAGCATCTATCGGGGGAGGCTTGTAAGCAATCTTGAGATCTTTGATGTCACTCTGATAGAAGGAAGTTATGGGCAAGTTCTGGTCATCAGTGCTGATGAGGTAGCCTTGCTGGTAGCCGAGAGGTGAAGTGATGTTAAAGATCAAGTCATCTGCTTCTGACTCCACATCTTCAGCAGCCAACATGTCATGGGTGACAGCCGTCATGACAAACTGATCGACCTCCATCATCATCATAGCCACAAAACTGGGTTTGGGGAGCGTGTTTTCCGTCCCTTCCCTGATCCTCACCATAATCTGGAAGTGCTCTTGCTTGACCGTGTTTCCTTCTCTGTCCAGCAGCTCGACCACCATGGGGATGTAGTCCCTGTTGGGGGAGTTGGTGCTGGCTGTGTGCTGGTAACGAATGCCCGAACTCGCGAAGGCATCGCAGTCCATCATCTGCCCGTCAGACGAGACATTTAAGAGCTGACCGTACCTGGGCAGCCCTCCGCCCCCCGGCCGAGTGGCGATCCCGCACGTCTCCGAAGTCCTCTCGAAGGTGTAGCCCAGCACTTTCTTGTCGATGGGGTTGCTGAGGCCGTTCAGCTTGTCCACCACCAAGGGCATGTTGCGGGTGAGGACCTCCAGCTGCTGAAAGACCACCTGCACTTCCAGCAGGAAGGGGACGACCACCGTGTGGGTCTGAGTGTCGTAGCGGAGCTGGAGCTTGACCCTGTCCCTGTTGGGGCTCCTGGAGCCCAGGTGAGTGTACCGGACATCGCCCGGGCCGAACTGACACGGGAACTTCTCGGGCGAGAGGGTTCCCGGTCTCTGCGAGAGAGGGTCGCCGTCCAGCACCGTGACCGAGCACCTGTCTCCCGGCCGCACCGCGATCACCAGGTCGCTGAGCGGGTCGAGGTGGACCGATCGGCCGAAGGGCACCCTCAGCCCGGTGTTGGCGAGCAGCAGCGAGTCCCGGGTGGGTCCCGGGCGGGGTCCGTGCAGCAGGAACGGCTCCGGGTCCTCCTGAGCCCCCGGGACCGCCGCCGCGACCAGCACCAGCCACGCCAGGCACACGGCACCTGAAGCCAGGCTCAGCCCGATGCCGAGCATTTCTGCCGGGGGTGGGGGGGGGTGGTGGGCTACTGCCGGGCTCCTCTCACTCACTCACTCACTTCCTCACTCACTCCCTCACTTCCTCACTCACTCCCTCACTCCCTCACTCACTCACTCCCTTCCTCCCTCACTCACTCACTCCCTCACTCACTCCCTTCCTCACTCACTCACTCCCTCACTCACTCCCTTCCTCACTCACTCACTCACTTCCTCACTCACTCACTCACTCCCTCACTCACTCACTCCCTTCCTCACTCACTCCCTCCTCCTCACTCACTTCCTCACTCCCTCCCTCACTCCCTCCTCGACTCTCTCCCTCACTCACTCCCTCCCTCACTCCCTCCTCGACTCCCTCCCTCACTCACTCCCTCCCTCCCTCCCTCACTCACTCACTCACTCACTCCCTCACTCCCCGAAAAGGACTTGCGGAATCTCGCCGGGGATCTGCGCGTCCGCAAAGCTGAGCGTGAGCTGAGCCGATCACCGGTGGGTTTGGAGCTGAGCTGTCACAGGCACATGGAGGGCAGGCGGGCAGGGCTGGGCAGGGCGGGGCAAGGCAGAGCAGGGCAGGCAGGTAGGGCAGGCGGTGCAAGGCAGGGCAGGCGGGCAGAGCAAGGCAGGGCTGGCGGGGCAGGGCTGGCGGGGCAGGGGCTGGTAGGCAGACACTGCGCTCCCGCTATGACCGCCCGCTCCAGGTAATACTCAGTGCCGGGCTGTCCCGCCCCCCGCCCCGCCCACAGCCCCGCCCCCCCGCCCACAGCCCCGCCCCCACGCACACAGCCTCGCCCACAGCCCCGCCCACAGCCCCGCCCCCCCCACAGCCCCGCCCCCCGCCCACAGCCCCGCCCCCCGCCCCGCCCCCGCCCACAGCCCCGCCCCCCGCACACAGCCTCGCCCACAGCCCCGCCCACAGCCCCGCCCCCGTCCACAGCCCCGCCCCCCGCCCACAGCCCCGCCCCCCGCCCCGCCCCCGCACACAGCCCCGCCCCCCGCCCACAGCCCCGCCCCCGCCCACGCCCCGCCCCCCGCCCCCGCCCCGCCCCCGCCCCCCGCCCCGCCCCCGCCTCTCACCACCTGATCCCAACCTCTGCGGCTTCGTTCCCGGTCTGTGCCGCTCATCCCAAACTTTGCAGCACTGAGAGCCAACACTGTGCGGCCCCTCCCAACCCCTCATCTCCCCCCCATGTGCCCCGGCACTCAGCTGCTGCCACCACACCCCAGAGCTGGACAACAGCCCCGACCCCCCCACACACCCCCCACACACCCCCCCCCCCCCCCCCCCCGGGCTCCGGCACTGAGCGCGGGGCTCCGGCACTGGTTCACCACCTGTTGCAGTTTGCAAACCCCCCATCTCTCCACGTCTCAGGTCGGGACAGAAAGGCTCAAAGCTCTGAGCAGCAGGTTTTGGAGCGGGGAAGGGGGGGGAGGGGGGTGGGGGGGGTGAGGGGGGGAGGGGGGGGGGGGAGGGGAGCAGGGGTGAGTGAGGGGGGGGGGGGGAGTGAGGGGGGGAGGGGGAGCAGGGGGGGGAGGGGGAGGGGGGGAGAGGGGGGGGCGAGGGGGAGCAGGGGGGGCGAGGGGGAGGGGGGTGAGGGCGAGGGGGTGAGGGGGAGGGGGGTTGAGGGGGACTGGGGGGTGTGGGGGGGTGTGGGGGAGGGGGGGTTGAGGGGGCTTGGGGGTGTGGGTGAGGGGGGGTGAGGGGGACGGGGGGGGTGTGGGGGGTCGGTAGATGACACGAAACTGATGCGTTCGCTGAGGCTTCGCAATGCTCTCGAGCCACTGCGCCCGTCCGTCCGCTCGGGGTTCGGGTTGAAGACGCGGGGGTTCGGGGCGCTCTCAGACGCTTACGCGGAGGGCGCCGGAGAAGCGCGAGTGGCCGTGGCTGTGGTCGGGGAGAGGTTTTAACGACAGGCCAGGGCTGGGCAGGGCAGGGCAGGGCTGGGCAGGGCAGGGCAGGGCAGGGCGGGCAGGGCAGGGCAGGGTAAGGCAGGGCAGGGCTGGCCTGGGCTGGCCAGGGCTGGGCAGGGCAGGGCTGGGCAGGACATGCCAGGGTAGGGCTGGGCTGGGCAGGACAGGGCAGGCCAGGGTAAGGCTGGTCAGGGCAGGGTAAGGCAGGGCAGGGTAAGTCAGGGCAGGCAGGCAGGGCAGGGCTGGGCTGGGCTGGGCAGGGCAGGGCTGGCCAGGGCAGTGCTGGCCAGGGCAGGGCTGGCCAGGGCAGGGCAGGGCTGGGCTGGCCAGGGCAGGGCAGGGCTGGGCAGGGCTGGGCTGGCCAGGGCTGGGCAGGGCAGGGCTGGGCTGGGCTGGCCAGGGCTGGGCAGGGCAGGGCTGGGCTGGGCTGGGCAGGGCAGGGCAGGGCTGGCCAGGGCAGGGCTGCAGGGCAGGGCTGGCCAGGGCCGGGCAGGGCAGGGCAGGGCTGGCCAGGGCAGGGCTGGCCAGGGCAGGGCAGGGCTGGCCAGGGCAGGGCTGGCCAGGGCTGGGCAGGGCTGGCCAGGGCAGGGCAGGGCTGGCCAGGGCTGGGCTGGCCAGGGCAGGGCAGGGCTGGGCAGGGCAGGGCTGGGCTGGGCTGGGCAGGGCAGGGCTGGGCAGGGCAGGGCTGGGCTGGCCAGGGCAGGGCAGGGCTGGCCAGGGCAGGGCTGGCCAGGGCTGGGCAGGGCTGGGCTGACCAGGGCAGGGCTGGGCTGGGCTGGCCAGGGCTGGGCTGGGCTGGCCAGGGCTGGGCTGGGCTGGGCAGGGCAGGGCTGGCCAGGGCAGGGCAGGGCTGGCCAGGGCAGGGCTGGCCAGGGCAGGGCAGGGCAGGGCTGGCCAGGGCAGGGCTGGCCAGGGCAGGGCAGGGCAGGGCAGGGCAGGGCTGGCCAGGGCAGGGCTGGGCAGGGCTGGGCTGGGCAGGGCAGGGCAGGGCAGGGCAGGACACTCGGCAGAGGGACGGACGGGGACACGGGCTGTGACCCGCGATTATTTCGATGCAAACGCTTCGGACGAGTTGTGTCCTTGCGGTCGGTTCCCTTCGTGCGATTTCGCGCTGTTCGCTAATGTGCGGAGTCGGCGCTAACGCCTCCGGGGCTTATATGTATCGCTCAGTCCGCAAACACACTGCCGACTTCGCCTCCGACACGTTCGCTGTCGATTATTTGCGTTATGTTCTGCGTTGTGTTGAGTCATTGCTTTGCACTCCACGAGATATAGAGATATAGATATATATATAGAGAGAGAGAGAGAGATAAAGAGAAGCAATGAATTTCAAGGCAGTGTTGTGGTTTTTTTTATTGGGGCCACATTCTCCCTTTTTCCATTTGGAGCTTCAGAGATTGCGGTCGAGTCGGTCACAGCTGCGGATCCCGCAAATCTGTCCCTGACCCCCACTCACTCCTGCACTGACTCCTCCAGGCTTCATGGGGAAATATATCGATAGCTCCCCATTTAACATGTAACAGACACACATCACGTTATGTATTATATAATATAATGCATAATAATACTGTAATATCATACAATAATATTACAATATAACATATTATATAATAATGTTATATATATGCTATATATTACATGATATATATTATATAATATGTAATAATATAATATATTAGATAATAATGCTATATGTTATATATTTAATATATAATATATCGTGTGTCATATATATTGTATAATGTGATATACAATAATATATTACATATCAGATAATAATGTTATTTATCATGTGATAATGTCATGTACTATGTAATAATGTTATATATTATATATAGTGTTATATAATAATGCTATATATTATATATAATGTTATATATTATATATATTCAATATATAACAGACCCAGAGAGGTGCTGGACAGTTAACAACGATCAGAGAGAGAAAAGTCAAACAGACATAATGTGTAGCAATAGAATATTTGTACAGCTCAACAACAACAACAACATACAACAACAACAACTTGGGTGTATGTAGCGCCCTCCAGGCCGGGCGGCGTCTCAGAGGGCTTCACGGCTCAGGAGATATGGAGTGAGAGTGATGACGTAAGCAAAACCAGGGCGACAGCTGTAGAGACATGTGAGTGGAAACGAAACAATAAAAATAAAGGAAAGGGACGAATTGTGCCAGATTCAAGGCAGAACTTACACAAAGAGAAGGCAAAGAGCGACAGGTGGAAATAGCCGCAAAATATGGAGAAGCAAGTCGGTAGCTCACACTCACTGAGCGTTCCAACAAAACCACCCGGACTAAACTCACGATGAATTGGGGATGGAATCGAAAGACTTTTGCTGTCTTCGCATGAACGATTTTGTTGACAATGAAATGACAGTAAGGTTTTTGTGTATCCCCATCAAGTGAGAGTGAATCACGTTTACTTCAGTAAACAAAAACAGGAGGGGAGATGTCATGGCTATTTCAAACTATTGAGGCAAACTACTGGAATATCCGTGAAATTTCTCCTCCTGGACTTGTCTACGCTCGGCAAGAATTCGTGTATTTTACCTTTCTCGTGACTGCTCGATTGTAGCTCAGATTACTACTGGTCCAAGTTTTGTTATCAGTTGTTGGTCTCTTGGGTCTCTGGGTTCCTTTGATTGCAGAAACCCAGGACTCAGTAGTTGGGGACCGCAGTCCTGACAGTCTGACATGTCTCTGCATCACTCGGACTGTGTTGGTCTGTCATGGTTAACAACATTCACAGACATTGAAACACCTCCAAACCGAAGTACAAATACAGCACAAATACTGGACAACCATCTCCCGATCTTTAACTGTAACACCTATACAAAATAGTACAATGAATAAATAACATAATATTTAAATATTTAAATAAAAAACACATGTTATTGCTTCCCCCAGTTACATTTCTTTAACTAGTTTGTCTGGTTTTGTTTCCATGTACAGATGATCTCTTAAATCGCAATCTTTACTTCTGACTTTGTCCCATTGATCATCGGACAATCACATTTAAATTGATAATAATTATGATAATAGTAATTGATGTAATTGATAATTAGTACACGAGGATA